TTAAAAAACACCACCCAGCAAAAACAAAAGGACATTTTTAGAAGAGATTTAGATGAGAACTTACACAAGACACGTTAGAGTTTTTTTAAGATGGACATACAAGGATCTACTGAACGTCTAAACAAAAGCGTTTATCCTCATGTCCACCAGTAAATGTTACATAGCTATTCATTTAAATTTAGGGATATATCCAAGTTACAAAAGTATCTCTGGAAGACGGAGAAAAATAATAAAGCAGTATGATAGCTATTTTCTTTTAAATTTTTTTAAATTGTACTTTAGGTGAAGGTTTAAGTTTCTCATTAAACAGTCAGTACACATATTGTTTTATGACATTGGTTAACAACCCCATGACATGTCGACACTCTCCATTCTCGATCTTGGAGGATCTTTTTTTTTTTTTTGGTGAAAATATACATAACCAAAGATACACAGTTTCAAAAATTTCTACATGTACAACTCAGTGACATCGATTACGTTCTTCCAGTTGTGCTGCTATTCTCACTATCCTTTTCCAAATTATTCCATCACCATTATCTTCAACGCACTGTCCCCTAGGATTCCCATCAAACCTTTTGAGTTGCTGTTGTCAATTTAATATCACAGAGATAATTCTTTTTTTTTTTTTTTTGTACTTGAGATGAAGGTTTACAGAACAAAATAGTTTCTCATTAAACAGTTAACATATTGACCTATGAAAATGGTTAACCCCACGACATGTCAACACTGTCCTTTCTCAACCTTGGGTTCCCTATCACCAGCTTTCCTGTCCCCTCCTGCCTTCTAGTCCTTGTCCCTAGACTGCTGTGCCTCATTAGTCCCGTTTTGTTTTATGGGGCTGTCCAATCCCCAGGTGAACGGTGAACCTTGGGAGTGACTTCACCACTGAACTAAAAGGGTGTCTGGGGGCCATACTCTTGGGGTTTCTCCAGTCTCTCTTTCAGGCCAGTAAATCTGGTCTTTCTTTGTGTGTTAGAATTTTGTTCTACATCCTTCTCCAGCTCTGTCCAGAATCCTCTGTTGTGATCCCAGTCAGAGCAATCAGTGGTGGTAGCTGGGCACCATCTACTTGTACTGGACTCAGTCTGGTGGAGGCCTTGGTAGCTGTGGTCCATTAGTCCTTTGGACTAATCTTTTCCTTGCATCCTGTTCTCTACATTCTCCCTTGCTCCCGAAGGGGTGAGACCAGTGGAGTATCTTAGATGGCTGCTCACAGGCTTTTAAGACCCCAAACGCTACTTACCAAGGTAGAATGTAGAACATTGTCTTTATAAACTGTGCTATGCCAATTGAGCTAGATGTTCCCTGAGACCATGGTTCCCACCACCCTCCGTGATGGCTATTTTCTGTTTCAACAATGAAAATATTTTTTAAAAACTAATATATTTTAAAAGAAAAATATTTGCTCTGCATTAATAATATAATTAGTATGTCTGTATTTACAAAGGCAATCTAAACTGCTACCTTTTGCTGGCTTCAAATGATTCCTGATTATCTTTGACCTTTTTTTATTTTCATTCTCATTTTTACATATAATAAATTACTTGTACCTTATAATAATATACAATATTCAATAGGCCTCCAAGTATTAATTTTCATTTCAAAAAAAGTTAAAATATTTATGGTACTAAGGTTTATAAAAATCCATCATTTCAATTTATCATTAAAAAGATATAATTTTTACCCCAAAGAAATATTTGGAGATGCATATGAAGATACATATATAAGAATACCCACCCCAGAATTATTTACATTAATGAAAAGTATAAACAATGTCAATATACAACAATCAGGATCAGTTAAATAAACAGGATGCTTCCATGATTTGAAATAAGATACAGACATTAAAAATAGATGCTTACGAACAACATTTAATAGCATGAAAAATACTTAACATATGCAATGCAATATATACAATGTCATCTCAATTTTCTAAGGAAAAATACATGTTTATATGCTGCAGAGGGAAAAGACTGATATTTTATTGGAGTTTTTATTTCTGCATGTTAATTTTATGGTGATTTTACTTCCTTCTTTACACATGTCTGTATTTTCCAAAATTTCTTCAATAAAAAATTGCATACAGTATTTTATGATTTAATTAGAAATGCTACTTTAAAAGAAAGAAGACACCAAGAGAGTTTTCACATTGAGGCAACTCAACACATACCTTGAAATATTTTATGGCGAAGAAAAGAATATGATCAAAACATTTTATGAAAAAAAAAATTTCAGAAATGATTATGTAATTGCAGAAAGGGTTGTTTTTGCTTAAACGTTCCCTGGGTATATTTTAACATATGCAATAAGTTGATGTTCACATGCAAACTTCTCAATGATGCCACAAACAGATTCATTCATTTAAAATATGCACACAAAAAAAACCCTAAGGGTGTGGAAAAAAGAAAGCCACATACATTTAAACATGAATCTTGGATGCAATACACAATAGCTTTAAATACATTTTCTTTCAAAGAACACTGGAATGTTTACTCCTGACCCAGGCTGTCATTATAAAGAGAAGAAATCTTACTCCATGAAAGACAAAAGAAAATTTTCAAAAGCCAACATTTCATTTTAATCCTTTTCATTACTCTTTGGCAAGTAGCCTCAAAAGTAAGAATTAGCACAAAATAAAAGAAAAAATGATTGGTAATGACTTGGAATGCCCTTTTAAAACAATGACAACATAAAAAAAAAGAAAGAAATGCAAAACAAGAGCTCACAAGAAGATGTGATGAATATAAGAAGTATTACCCCAAAACAGGCTTTTTAAATGTAATAATGTGTTTATTTCATTAGTTTTTTAAACACCAGGTATGCACTAAGAAACAAAACTCTACATCCCTTAAGTTGGAGCTACTAAATGTCAGATGGAATATCACTGAGATCAGCTGCAGTAATTCTACCAGATTGAAATTTAAAAAAAGAAAAACTAGCCCTTCCTCTTCTATTATCAACAATAGCATCAACAACAAAATCAATGTCTTTTGTGATATTTTATAAAGAAGGTGGTCAGAAAACTATCATATTAAAAGGAACCAATTTGAAATTGAACTTCGGAAATTCTGAAGTTAAAAATGAAAGAAAAATTAATGATAAAATTATTTAAATAAATTTATTAAAAACATTAATAATCTAAGCCTATTTTACACATTTATACATTTAAGTTGTGCATTACAATTTGCAAGTTACGTACATATGCATTATTCTCATTTGATTTTGCTAATAATCCTGAGATCAAAAATTACCTCCTCATTAAACAAATTCTAAACTAATATTCTTGACTTCTCAGGGTTATGTGACTAGAGAATAGTAAAGCTGTATTTAGTTCTACTCTGCCCTATAGGGTTGCTATAAGTCGGAATCAACTCTGTTGCCAACGAGTTTGGTTTACTTTTTAATCCTGACTCTGCAGCCTGTGCTCTTAACCAATAAACAATACTGCTTCTCTAATAATTCTATTTTAAAATGGCCAAAGAAGGGTAGTTGATCATGTCATTTATCAGCTATAGCATATCTTAATTTAGCAGATCAATTTAAATAGTAAGAATAGTAAATAGTAAGGTTAAGAATACAGTTTTTTCAGATTTCTAATCTAACAGTTTTCCACCACACCACACAGATGATCAAAGTGTTTCATTGGGGTCATAAGCAAGAACAAAAATAACAATAATGATTTTTAAATTTACCAGAACAAAAAACAAAAGGAAATTAACATTTGTTTAACAACTACGATATGTCAAGCATATAGTTGCTTCCAAAAAAAGAACAAACCCATTGCTGTTGAGTCGATGCCGACTCATAGTGACCCTCTGGGACAGAGCAGAACTTCCCCACAGGGTTTCCAAGGCTGTAAATCTTTACAGAAGCAGAACCCCATCTTTCTCCCACAGAGCAGCTTGTGAGTTTGAACCGCCAGCCTTTTGGTCAGCAGCCAAGCACTTAACTACCGCACCACCAGGACTCCTTTATAGTTGCTTAACCTGTACCAAAACCAAACCTGTTGCCATCGAGTCGATTCTGACTCATAGGGATCCTACAGGACAGAGTATAACTGTCCCGCAGGGTTTTCAAGGAGCAGTGGGTGGATTCTAACTGTCGACCTTCTGGTTAACAGCCAGACGCTTAACCACTGTGCCACCAGGACTCCTTACAGACTACAAAATCCTCAAAACAGTCCCACAAAGCAGGTATCTTTCAATTTAGGTGGGGAAATTGAGACTCACAGAGGTTAAGTATGTGACGGTTTTCACACAGCTAATAAGTAAAAGAACCTAGATTTAAACCCAGGTTATTTCTGACTCCAACCAGTCCTGATGGTAAGTGGTTAAGAGCGTGGCTGCCAACCAAAAGGTTGGTGGTTCCAACCCACCAGTCGCTCCATGGGAGAAAGATGTGGCAGTCTGCTTCTGTAAAGATTACAGCCTTGGAAACCCTATGAGGCAGTTCTACTCTGTCGTATGGGGCTGCTATGAGTCGGAATCAACTCATCGGCAATGAGTTTGCTTTAGTTTTTCATTCCTGACTCCATAGCCTATGCCCTTAACCAATAAACAATAATACCTCTTTAATAACTGTACTTTAAAATGACCAAAGAAGGGTAGTTTATTATGTCATTTATCAGCTATAGCATAGGTTAATTTAGTAGATCAGTTTAAACAGTAAGAATAGTGAAACTAGAAAGACACATTACAAATAAGTTGAGATAAAGGAAAAACGGAAGCATTCGATGAGGTCAAATACACTGTCTCTTAAAAACTGCCATTTCCCCTATCTCCTGGTATCAGGAACTGACCTTCAGGAGACAGCCTCTCAGGACACCCTTATCTAGTGAGAACAGAGTTGGGACATACAAGATGGAAGATGGGTGATAAAAAATAAAGACAAACCCTGCCTACCTTAGATTATTATTTTAACTAGGACCTGGAAACTCACAGTATACAAAAATTTAACAAGTGTGTTAACAATTAGATACAGCAGAAATATCTCAATCCTACCTCTTTTTCATGCATTCGAGAGAGTAAATGATCATCGTGAAAACTGCTGGATTTTCTCAGGCTGAATTTGGGAGTCGTCTGTTGAATAAATAAGAATTATGCAATAGTTTTACAGATCTGGTTTATCCTCAGCCCAAAAGTAAATTTCAAAATGCCTAAAGTTCATGCCAAACTATTAACAACACTGGAGAAAAAGTGATTCATTCACTTCCAGGCAGCTAGGTTAATAAGACTATCATGCTTCATAACGTGAGCCTACATTATTTTCTGTAAAGAGTTAATGGTTATTTTATTAAAAAATACCTGTCCCTAGAAAAAGTCCAATGGAATTCTCACCTACCAGAGAAACTGGGACAGGCTTCTGTCTCAGATACCGAGGATTTTCTATCTGAAAATTTTGAAAGAAAATAGGCTTTATTAATTTTGAAGTATAAATTATTATTTGATAAAATATAAAATTAAGCTGCTATAGGAAAAAATGTTCTATATGCCTTAATATTTCTGTTTTTTTAGATAGGTATTATATATAACATTTTTAGTGGTTCCCTGACAAAGTATAAAACATAAATTCCTTTGTATGCATAAATGCACCTTCATGATCCTATCTCTAACTGTTCACCCTCATCTTCCATTACTCCTGTGTCATATTTTATGCTCCCAGAATCCTGAATGACTTGTATTATCAGAAGACTACAGGTTTTCTCATATCTGTCTCTATGCATTATTCTGTCCATTATTCCCTCTAACCTCTATAAGCATGCTCCTATTCATCCTTCAAGTCTCAATTTAATCACTACACTCCTAGGCATATTTGGTGGATGAAACTTTAAACATACTTCCACAATAGCAATAGTGTAAATAACAACACGCATGTAACTATAATTTTAAAATAACTTCAGATATATAGAACACAACAAATCAGAATAAGTCAAAAATACAAAGATGCTAAACAGGAGCTCATCAAATTTAGGAAAAGAAACAGAAAAATAAGGCAAAAACCACCGAGGAAGTGAAGAACAAAGTAAGAGCTATCCAAACAAGACCAAGATAAAACTGAAATCACAGCAGGAGACACACAAGACAGAAACTGAAACTAAACAAAATCCAGAAAATAAAACTGAAATAAAAACAGATATTTAAAAGGGACCAGAGAGAAACTGATTTAAAAAGAAAGAAAACAGGCAACAATAATCCAATAAATGTATAATTGGATTCCCTGAAGAAAAAAGTCAAATACAACTGACTATTTTAAAATTATTAAAGAAAACTTTTTTTAAAATAAAAGAAGATAAGAATCATTATATTGGCATTTCCTACTGTTTATCTTAGAAAACTGACCCAGAACTATCAACTCTGAAACATGCTCAATATTTTCAGGATAATTTTTAAAAATCTCCAGACTACCAGGTGAAAAGAATAAGACATTTACAAATGAAAAAAAACAAAACATCAGGTAAATATCATATTTCTTGACTGTAATGTACAACATACAGAGTAAGATAACAGTAAAACAATATACTTAATAAACTCAGGGAAAAAAAATATGAACCAAAGTATTTTATGTCCAATGTAGATTTTCTTCAATAATGAAGGCCATAAAACACCATTTCAAACATGCAAGAACTCAGAAAATATCGTATTACAAGCCCCATCCTGTGGAATCTACCAGAGAATGAACATTTTCACTTAGTTAAAAGATAATCAAGGAAACTTCAACCAAGAATAAAGGTAAAATCTTTCCTGATTAAGTATTATCACATCTGTAACTTTCTTTCAATGGTTCAGATAGAGCAAAATCACAAAATTTAAAAGGTGGTGGGTACAGGAGTTATCCTGGAAATATTTTTTTCTATGTAAATATCTTAAGAATAAAAATTGGAAAAAAATGTTTTGACCATCTGTTGTATCCAAATAGACAACTGTCGCATATTTTACTTGTCTGAAACCAAATACCATTGATGAACCTAATTAAACAGTAGTTTGCAATCACTGTATACCTTAAATATATACTAGGGGAGCTTCTAAATAATGTTAATTTTGACGGGAAACAGGATAACAGACAAGAAGAAAATTCATACAGGTAACAATAATAACAACAATGGCTGACTCCTCATGAGAAACAATACATGGTGCAGGACAAAGGAATACTATCTTAGAAGTACTGAAAGAAAAAAACTATCAACTGAAAATTTTACATCTAGCTAAAATATCTTTCATAACTGAAAGTGAAGACTTTTGCTGCCAGTTAAGTAAGAAGAACCAAACTTATATTATTGCCTAAAACACATACACACATAGCTTTTAAATACCAGAAAACAGGCAGCCCAAGACACGGATATTGAAAAATTAATCAAATAAGGTGAGACCAATGACTGACCAGCTTTCTAACTAAAGAGAGTTTTGAAGCCACAGTGCAGGGAGGAGGAACCAATAAAGCTGGAAGTCTACCTGATTTGAGACAGCAAAGTGCAGAATCTGAAAAAGCCGAAGTGGCTAGAATTCACAGGAAAGAGTACTGGAAAATGAGAGCTGTAGACAGGAGAGAATAGCACAGACAGCAGGCATCAGTCAACTATGACCTGGGGGCCAAATGAGCCCACTGCCTATTTCCGTAAATAAAGTTTTACTGGAATACAACCACATTTGTTTATGTACAGTCTATGACTGTCATCACACAACAACAGCAGAGTTGAGCAGTTGTGACAGTATATATTTTCAAATGTTAACTATCTGGTCCTTTACAGAAAATGTTTGCTGACACATGCTCTAGAGATCTACAGAGGGTTCCCTTCGAGTATGGTGCTCTTCACCACAAGTATTTAAGAAAACTACCTGAAATCAAATTAAGAACACCCAGAAAAAATAAAGTAAAAACATCTGAGACATGCCTTAGAACTCATATAGAAGAGGGAATATTCCCACCAACCAAAGTGGAAAAACATTGTGATCCACAGGTCATTGAATCAAGAGCTCAGAAATACACTTCCTCATTAGTGCAGCAAAATTGTTGTTGCTGCTAGCTGCTGTCGAGTCACTCCCAACTCATGGCAACCCGAAGCACAAGATAGGACCATAGGGTTTTCACTGGCTGATGTTTGGAAGTAGATCGTCAGGCCTTTCTTTCTAGTCTTTCTTAGTCTGGAAGCTCCAATGAAACCAGTTCAGCAACATAGGAACACAACCTCCACTGACAAAAAGGTGGTGGTTGTGCTAAGATGCACTAGCTGGGAATCAAACCCGGTTTTCCTGCATGGAAGGCGAGAATTCTACCACTGAACCACCACTTCCCTTAGAGCAGTATCAGCACTACCCTAAAGGTTGGATTAGTCACACATGACAAAGCTTTAAAACAAGTCTCAAAAAGATCAAACTGTTTCCAAGTATCCTAACTGCATCTCAGAACAAACCTCAGAATATTTAAAGGAATACAAAAATATCTAACATCTAACAAAGTAAAAACCAGTCAGATATTCAATGAAAAAAAAAAATTACTATGCTTCCAAAACAGAAAACAGTGCTGAAACATCATTTTCTCCAAAGTGAAGAAAAATATCAATCTATATAGATAAAGACCCAGACATGACATAATTAGTAGATAAGACTATTCAGTTATTCTAACGGGATTCCTTATAGTTCAAGAAGGTAGACGAAAGATCAAGATATAAAGATATGGAAAACATAAAAAAGAAGCAACTCATACTTTTAGAGATAAAAAATAAATATCTGAGATGAAATATACACTAGAAGAGATAAACAGATTTGACACTGCAGAAGACGAACAAATCTGAAGACAAAGCAATATAGGAACAGAAACTATACAAAACAAAACACAGAAAACAGGGCTTCAAACTCATTAGAAATGGTTCAGTCATGGCCATTGTAAACAAGGGCAGCATACGCACTGCATAGCAACCAAATCTGCTGTTTATCAGATTTTGACCCGAGTAGGAAACCAACAGTGGTGCTTCACTCAAAGAGGCAGCCGAGTGCGCCGCTCTGAACGTTTCAGGAGCCTGACACAGGAGACTGGATTATTGGCAGGACTGTGGGGAGCCACACATTCAAAGTGGCACAGTCAGCTGCCATCTTTGAGTGGGACATCGCTGTTTGTTTCCTACTTGAGTCAAAATCCAACGGGATACATATTTGGTTGCTATGCAACACGTACGCTGCCCTTGTTTACGATGGTCATGACTGAACCATTTTGAATCGGTTCGAAGCCCTGACAGAAAATAAAATTTTAAAAAATGAACAGAGGTCTGTGGGATGATTTCAATGTAATTGGTGTGCCCAAAGAATGAAAACAGGCAAAAATATTTTAAATTTTTTCAAACTGATGAAATCTACGATTCTACAGATTAAAGAGGTCAACAAACTCCATGCACCAAAAAAAAAAAAAAAAAAAATAAGGAAAGCTACACCAAGAAACATTACTTAAATCCTGTGATAAAGTGATAACTTTAAAAGCAGACAGAGAAAATAGGCACATTACATACTGAGGAACAAAGTAAGAATGATAGTAGTTTCTTTTTTTTTTAAACAAAATATTTTATTTTGTTGTTGCTAAAAATATACACAGCAGAACATACACCAATTCAACCATTTCTACATGTACAATTCAGTGACATTGATTACATTCTTCAAGTTGTGTAACTGATAACAGGCTTCTTGTCACCAACAATGCAAGCTAGGAGAGAATGGGGTATCTTTAAAGTACTCTATACCCACTCAAAAAAAAAAACAAAAAAAAAAAAAAACAGGGGTTGGGAGGAAAAAAAACTTTTTCAGACATACAAAAGGTAAAAAGATTTATCACCAGCAGAACTACACCATATAAAAATGTTTAAAAACAAAGTCTTTTAGACAAAAGAAAATTAAACTAAATGGAATCTCTACACAAAGGAATAAATAACACCAGAAATGGTAAACAGGTGGGTAAGTATAAAAGGATTTTTTTCTTATACTTTAAACGGAAACCCTGGTGGCATAGTGGTTAAGAATATGTAATAAATAATTGAGTGATCAAAGCAAACTAGAAACAATATATAATAAAAATAATACGCTGTGTGGTTTAAAATATTAACAGATTAAAGGAGAAAAACTATGGCCCTCTCAAGAGATGAAAAAAGGTATTTCAAAAAATTCCACAACCATTAATGATTTAATATACTTATATACACTTGTAAAAAAGAGGAATAGAAAGAAGCATACTTAACTTGATAAACATTTATAAGAAAAAAAAAAAAGCAAGCATTCTTATTTCAAAAGACTGAAAGCATTCCCTTTAAGATTAGCTAAAATTCCCACTACAAACATACTCTTAGTCAACACTGTACTGGAATCCTAAACAGTACAATAAGACAAAAAAGCCAAAAAAAGAAAAAAAAA